GGTATAACAACTTAGATTGCTATATATTTTTCCTCAGGTCTTAAACTGATTATGATTGACTGACTACTGAAAAAAAGATTATCAACGGGGGGAAATATTGTTCTTCACTTTAATTTTTAAAAAAAGAAACACTTACCCATTTAAGTAATGCATTGCTAACTTTGCTTGTTCATGATCGGACATAATTACTAATGCTTTCATATCTTGTTTATCATTAATATTATTCATTATTAAAGTATTATTATTTTCACCATTTATATTTAACTCTTTATTAGGTAATAATTGTACAGATAGTACACTTGGAAATGCAGAAAATAATCTTAATATAATTGATTCATCTGTTCCAGGTGCTAAACCTTCAATTTTTAATATTGTTGTTGTCAATGATGATGATATAGAATTAGGAGGATAATGATTTGTTGAAAATAAATCATTACTTGGTGTTACCGTTGTTACCATTGTTGTTGTCGTCGTCGTCGGTGGTAGTGGTGGTGGTGGTGTTGGTGTTGGTGGTGTAGTACCATTCAAATTACCTGTAATTACTGCATGAGTTGAAATATCATGTAAAAGTTTAGTTGTAGCTGAGTGAATATCTAAATTTGATGTGAATGGATTAAAAAATAATGAGTCTACAATTGGAATAGATGATTTTGTTGAATTAACATGGTTATTATTATGATTATGGAAACTATTAATCAAATTAAGATTTTGTTGCTTAGCTACATTTAAATTCATAGTTGTTTGACTAGTATTATTATTATTATTATTATTTAATCCAATTTGTGTATTATAATATTCTGGACAAGTTAATAAAGGAATTGTATTCAATGAAATATTTGATAAAACATTATTAGATTGTGGAAAATAATCACCAAGTGAATTATTCGTTTGATACATATTATTGGTTAATTGATTTAAATTTGTTTCTATATTAGTTCCTAACCATGGCAATGTAAAACTGAAAATCAAAAAAATAAAATAAAATTTTTATCAGAAGGGGTATTTTTTGTGTGGATATTTTAATAGTTGAGATTATGAGTTAATTGAAGCTAGATCATCATGGAAAATTTGGAAGGATTAGACGGCTGTTTCGTTCTAGCAATGGGACTCTTCTTTGGCAGTGCGCATGCACGATACAGCCTCGCAAGATTCGAACCCAGGGCCATCAGTTTCGCCCGTGAACGCTTAACCTCTAGACCACTGAGACAGCCAACATATAACGGTGTTAATGTATAACTTCAACTAATTCACAAAATTGAGCAACACATCCATCATTGTCTTCAATGAGTTACTATCTCACAACAGACCTGGTTGAACTCCATTGGTTACGGCTTTTCACTAGAACTCCTGGAAATACTTCTTGAAGCCAGTCACTAGTGAGCATATTTTGATTAATATCAGAAGGGTTCGAATCTCCCAAAGCGGGGTCGTAGATGCGCACTGATGAGGAGTCCCACAATGGGACGAAATGGCCGTCCAGTTCCTCTAGGTTTTCTATGGTGGTCTAGCTTCAATTGATTCATGAATTCAACTATTAAATTACTATAGCATTCACAAAACACCTCTCTTATTATAAAAATAATAACCAATATAATAGCTTATTTTGATTTTAGGCTCGCTTTAATTATAAGTTATGATGTAGTGTAATGAGAGTTCTTCCTGAAAATATATTGACCATTCACAACTGTTATTCAAAGATTGGTGACAAATCTACCATAAATCAAGACTTATATTGTTCATTTTTTAGGTTGTCAGATAGACTACTACGATCTACGAAATTTCGGTTTAATCACTTAAAATAGTTTATAATTAGATTTTATTTACTGTTGTACAGTTTAAATTACAACATGTCATTGACGCTAGTATACCATATCAAGATAATGTTTTGAATGAATATATGTTCAAAGTAATCTGTTCTAATTTTTGGTCTTGTGCCCCTATTAATATATAATGTAATGATACCACCAATTAGAGAACAGTGATTTATCAACCGGGCCAGTGACGCGTAAACCCGTCAGTCAGTTAGCTACAACGTAGGACCAGGCACATATATGTATCGGTCCAAGTTGCCATACCTCATTAGTACAGCAAGATGAATACCGGATTCATAGAAGTAGTTAATTCAATGGTGGTATTATATAAAAGAAAGATTCCATATAGGGATATAGTACATGACGAAAGAATAAGTTCGTAGAAAGAAAGAACGAATTTATGGATGACATTTCAGCGACATTAGACTGATGTTGAGAGTGTCCACTTAATAAGCAGAACCAAATGAGGATCATAAATCTGTGTGAGAAATTATAATTATAATTTACAGTTGATGATTAAGGTTAGGACTTAGATTTATGGTTTTTATCACGAACTGACATCAGCCATATTACCAAAACTCTATTTATCCAAATGGATGAGTGAATTTCGCGCCAAATTTCAAGACCTGTTATCCTAAATCTGATTGGTTCATCGATAAATTATAGTCTCGCCGTCATCATCAATTGTTCTGCCTCTTTTTTCTCAAATTGTCTTTATTGAAAAACAATTTATTAACAGGTAATTAATTAAGCAAAGTGGATAGTGACCAGCAGTGGAATCCAGGACGCGTGTTTCGTCCTATTTGGGACTTGTCCTACATCACAAATTTGATGTTCACTCTGAAACAAAACGCGCTTCAAACTGGAATCCACTACTAGCCACTATCCAACTGTGTTTAAAAAAAGCTTGTGACTTAAGGCTATATCGAGGCAATCTGCACAGGATGCACACATGCCAACGTGAGACTGATCAATTATATTCCTAAATAACAATGGGAAGATACAAGTAAAAGTAAAAATGAATAATTTGTCAATTACCCTATAACTCCTGGTAATTGTTGTGGAATTCCATTTAATTGTGATAATAATTGTGTTTGTAAAGGATCTGGTTGATTATTATTATTTGCTGTTGTTGTCGTTCTAACTGCTGCTAATGCTGCAGCTAAAGAGATTGCAGCATTAATATTATTATTATTATTAGCATTTTTTCCCATTAAACGTAGTCCATTAGCTGAAGCTGGAGATGAAGTTAAATTATTTATTGAAGTATGATTTATACCATCGAATGGATTAATACGTACCGGTATAGCACAACCATCTAATGGATTAAATCTGTAATGAATAAAATTGGTATTATTACTTTAATTATTAAAGAAAGAATAAAGGTTAATATATGAGTTTTAATAAACATAAATAAACAAACAAACATGAAAATCTACCTTACTAATCGATGAAGAGCCAATATTATATTTATAATAAGGATATGAGTAGATCATTTGATCAAGTGTCGAGATTGACAAGAGTCCATTCTCTTTCCATCTCAAAATGCTCTCACATGACCACGTGCATACAACCACTGCTAAGGAAGTCCTACTCACTGCTTTCTTGCGGCGGGTGTATTGTTCACTTAATTGAGAGGACGTAAAGCGAATATTCGTCGCTTTAACTGGGTTTGTGGATACGGATGATCCATCTAGGGGAGTAAGAAATCTCTGATTCAAAACCACTGGCGTACATGGGCTTCAAGACCCTGAAGAAACAAAAGGCATATGCATATATATACCATGGGACTGCATGTCCTCACGTTGTTCCATTGCCTTGTGCATTAGGCCTTCAGGTCAAAGGCTTCAAATATGACCGCCTAAGAAAACCACCTGCTTCTGTTTGGGCACCCGGGCAGTATCTCAGCCTTCACACAAATCGAGTGGTTTATTTGGTGCCACTTTGTGCCAATGTTTATGTGTTTAATTAACAATAATAATAGATCAGTGATCTGATTTAGTAAAGTTTCCAAAAGGTAATTTACTATTACAAATTTATTAGGATAATGAACGTCAATAGTAATGAAATTAAAAGACATTACATTACATCATCTATTAACAATTTGTTAACTATACATATACCTGTAAAATAAGGCAAAAAATATGTGTGTTGTTTGAGGCTTAAATGTACTGGGGTGTATGCTGTTTTGTCGACATATATAAGTAGTATGTCACACCACTACAAAGTGGAAAACCCGGCAGCAGAAGGTTGGAAAGATAGAATAAAAGAGAACTGGAACAGTGAATAGTTGTTATGGGAATGAAGAAACAATAAAGTAAATGAAGAATTGAACTTATGGTTTTTACATTTTACCAAATAACTCTGTAAGGTTATTTTTAAATTACGTTTGGTCGTCGCCATCTGTGTTTTCGTTCGTTACAGTACTAATTAGCCTCTTGAAAGTCAAATACGTAAAATCCATATTCATGATACAATGGTTAGAAGTGGAATATTAAATCTTTTGAACCATAAGTACCAAAGTTAATATCTAGTTATATTGCTAGGTTATTGAATGATCATACAGTTTATCAGTAGTATTGTGTTGTGCGCTACTTATATTGATATAAGTAGTATATAACGTGCGTTAAAAGAACGTAATGTCTGGCAGCGGAAGATGGTGAAGGTAGAGCGAGAACACAATGGAATTTGTAAGAAAATGCATGAACAATGGAATGGGAGACAATGGATTGGTGTATGCAACAGAAACAGTCCAGTCTGGTTTGATGCATGAATATTTTGCAAATTGACGATTTAATATGATATTCAGATTTTGTTGAGATAGACTGTAATTGTCGTTCGTCCTCACCCGTGTTCTTGTTCACTACAGTATCTCTAATAAGTGAAATTAGCATCTCTTATTACTACCGAGTATAGTTTACATTTTCAACAGATAATGTATTACTACAAAACAGGTTAGGATCAATAAGCATGAAAAGTAAATTGAAGACTTCTTATGTAACCCATCAAATTCATCCTAAAAGTTGATTTTTACAAATCATCTGTTACATGTTGTTTTTCATGGTATTCTTTTTTACAATTGATTAATCGTTAAGTAGCAAACAATATCATGTTTATCTAGTTTTTTAACGCTGATCGAATTCTGTCGATCAAGTCTTTTATACATATAAGTGATCAAAGTAAAAAGAGAACAAGATTAGTGTTTCTAAGAGCACAAACGTTCATATAAATTGTTGATCCTACTACAGTGCAAAATATCCTCGGAAGTCTAAACTTGGTGGAGGTATCAGTATAACGGGCAACATCTCGTTATAATCGTACTATGTAACGGTATTGTTGCGAACGAACACTTAGATGGAGACATTCAGTTGTACTTTAACACAAAATTACAGAATTTCTTGATAAAATATGACAACCATACATTGAATACTTCATTTGCAAATTTACATCATTTGTCTTTTACATTCTGTATAATTCTTCTGACCCACAATCCTTTCTAATTCCTTTTTTTTTCAAGTCCACCTTCATAGCCTTCTGTTGTCAGGTTTTCCACTTCTGATTGGTGTTACATACTACTTATGTTTGTCTACATTAGTAGCATATACCACATTATAATATATGAATTTAAAGAAAAAAAATTGCCATTAAGATCCATTTAATCTTTATGAGACCTTTCATGTTATTCTTGGATGAGATAGGAGAAGAACGACTTCTTACTAAATATTTCTATGTTTTCCACATTGGGTCGAAGACTCTCAATGATAATAAAAAACGTGAAAATATTTTAATACAAAATGCTCAGTTTTGCACTTTAACTGCGATTGATAATTTGATATTCAGATTGATTGAATTGATCTGGTGAAGAGTAAGGCTAACACATTTTGAAACTATTTTAATAGATCATAAGCAAAGATGGATAGTAGCTAGCAGTGGAATCTAGTACACGCGTTTCGCCCTATTTGAAAGATTCATCATGAAATAAATTCAATCATTTGTTTAAATCATAGTATTGGTCTATCAGAAACTATTAGGAATTCACAATAACATCTTATTCTTCTTTGTTGTTCTGTAAGTTTGTATAAAACATAACGTCAGTCAGTCAGTTACAACGTAAGACCTGGCATATATATGCATCAGTTCAAGTTGCCATACCTGATTAGTACAGCAAGATGAACACCGGATTCATAGAAGTAGTTAATTCAGTGGTGGTAATATATAAAAGAAAGATTACATATAAGGATATAGTACAGGAAGAGAGAACTAGTTGGTAGAAAGATATAGAGCGATTTTAATCTCACAGTTTAAGTGAACATAGAGGCTGTATACACCTACGCCATCACGATCGATTATGGGCCATGTTACACAAAGTCTCCAACTATTGGTTACGATAGTGGCGGAGACCTTAGTCAAGTAGTCTACATCTACCATCATAGCTAAGACTGTAAGTTAGTGACTTTAAGCACTGATGTCACGATTTGGTTTCACCGCCCCTAACTTTCTTCCAGCCATCCCCAACAGTAGTCAGCATTGCGCATCGTAGTAATCGGTATTCAGGCATACGTAACACGTGGCCCGACCATCTTAGTCGATTTAGTACAATGTTATTTAAGTTTATTCAACTTTTTCTTTCTTTGAGAATTCATCTATTCGTAACCACTACAATACATTTTGAAAAGATCTGAGGATTTCTAATTTGTAAGTTTCAATCAATACTATTAGATAGTCCATATAGAGGTGTTTTTTCCAACCGTACAGTAAATAATCTCATTTTTATTTGCTTATAACAAACTAATTATAAAGGGTTCGTTTATCTCTATGATCACATTTAGACAGACAAAATTCACAAATTAGTCATTCAAATCTATACACTGGATAGAATTTCATTTATCTGTTTCATAACTGAAATGTTCAATTTCAGTTACCCGCCAAATGAAGTAAGGAGGCTCCATGGCTCTTCCGGTAGAGAAAAAACAATACGACTGCCACTGGAGGATATGTGTATATAGGGATTGTAATATCGGTAGTATGGGTGATTTACCTGACCCACACTACGTAATCCAGATGTATTCTTATTGAACCATATTACTCTTTTCTTATTACTTTAGGAAGCTTTCATACAAATCAGAAGCGCTGATGAGCTACTGATGAGTTCGCCAGTGAAGAAACGTGGAAGCTATCCCTAATTATGCTTCATATGCACATATTTAAATCCAGGTATCAAAGATACTTACATCCTAGTGATATACATATTGGTATAGATGGGCGCGGTAGCTAGTATGCTGTACAAGTAATAATAGGAAGCGTAGGCAAGTTCACACCTCCCACAAACACATGTAGGCATAGAAATTTACGTTCGTAAGTATACGATACGTGCATGTATAGAATGCATAAGCTAAGGCCTATTTACTCCGTAGTATACATATAGGTATAGATGCGAAAGCCCAGGACTTCCCATCGCAGAAGCATTTTTACAGAATGAACATCGAGTATTAAAATCAGCATTTATGTGAGTCATCGTAGATGATGTGTTCTGACCCGTCATTGCCAAACCTCATGGAGCCCTCCAGACTAATCTGTTTATAAATCAGAAGGAAGTTTTCTCCAATGCCTCAGTCACACTCCAAATTCAAGTTTAGACAGAGTGGTTGATTAGTCCAATCACCATCTGACAGCGTAATGGTTTGTCAGTCCGGTCTCACAAATGATGGACTGGTGATTTTCACGTCTATATAGAAATATCAACACACTTAATACCATTCGGTTTGATTAATAACTTGGTAGACTAAATGATTTTAACAAAAGATTGTAGGCTACTACTCGATCATAGATCAGTGTAATGATGATCACAAAGATCCTCTGTTACTCATATTCACAAGAAAATAATACATTGAAGTAGACTTGCCGTAGTTTGTGTACAGCAGTTAGATGAATAGGTCCACCTATTCTTCGTGTATGTTTTCCACTACTTGAATCTGTTATTAATTGTGGTGTAGTTGAATTATTAAATATATCATAAGTTGAATCATTATTTAAAATTTCCGGGGTAATCATTGATTGTAATTCATTAGCTTTCATAGCTAATTTATTTAAATTTATTAATGAGGATAAAGTTGTCATAGTTTGATTTTGATAATCCATATTTCCATTATTACCATTATGTGTAGATGTTGATGGTGTCATAATCATAGGATTAACAGAATTAGTTAAACCATTTTTATTTGATGTAGGAATATTAGCAAATTTCACAATTAATGGACTATCTGCCATTGATCCAACACGATAACCATTAAATTGTTGTATGGCTAATTCAGCTTCATGACGTTGATCAAAACGTATAAATCCAACACCTTTAGATTAACCTAGAAAAAAAGATAAATTATAAATGTAGATGAGTTTTGATTCATTGTTTTTGAAGGAATTGTGAAATGATAGATGGTTTGGTTGTGGATCTTCATCATTCTTTTGAAGGACATCATCAGCACAAAATTCAAGTAGAAGTGAAGAGAAATTCGAACACTTCACTTCTACCTAAAGTTTGTGCCGATGATATCCTTCAGAAGTTCGACGAAAGCTCCATGACCAACTCAGAGGACAAAACTCAATCAAAATAATCCACCAGAGCTACAAATCTTCTCCATCATCTAAAGATTATTATTTGTTGGTTGAAATCAGTAAGACTTTAGATAATACTAGTAAAAGTGAACTAATGTATCAATCAAGGAAAAAGAAATAATAAATATGAATACTTACCAGTATTATTATCAAAAAGAATTATTGAAGTGATAATTTTCCCACATGGATGAAATAATTTTTCCAAATCAGATTCAGTCATAAATTTTGGTAGACCACAAATGTACAAATTTGCACCTTTAATTGATTCACAACTGGGTCGAGCTAGAGAAACCTGTTGTATATGTTTTAATTTGAGAGAAATTCCATATTTAAATATTATATGAAAAAATATATGAATGTATAATTCATAGATTCTGTTAATCAGTCTATAGTTGAATAAGTTATTTGATATGTTCTTACCTCTTTTATTTTATTTCTTTGCCTACTTTTTTGTATTTCAGTAGCATAAATATATACATATTTTCTATCCCGGTACAGATAGGAAACTATATCTTCTTAAAATCGGTATTTGTAATTCTCTTTAAATGGATACTCTGTTCAAGATATAATTAAGGAATTAAACATAAGTCATCTCTTCCAGCTTTCGTACTTTTTTAGCCACTGGATTTATAGTATTTTCCGAAACAACTTACCCAGAACTCAAGTTAAAGTAACTGAGTTCAAAAGTGAATTCCTTCATCAATTTATTTAGTTTGACTTTCGATTCATTCTAAGAATCAAGGAAAGATCATATGTAAAGTAGATAAACAATAAGAGAATATACTCTTATAGAAACAGTTTCAAAATGGATTACAATAAACAAAGCATAAGAATAAGAATACTTGAACTTCGGTCTTGACAGAAGTGTCTTAGTTCGATTCCTTTAGAAAAAAACAAAAAAATGTAATCAGCAAGATATATACGGTGGTAATTACAAAAAGGATCTCTCATTATCTCTTCTTAAGAATGTACTCAGCTTTTTTAAAATCTTAATAACTTGAAGCTAATCAGCTTCAGTTATATGAGATCATACATTTCAGTTACAAGTATTGTCTGTTGGGTTACTTGGTGTAATTCAAGGTTTCTACCACAAATTGTTTGGTACTTTATACCCATCTATTTACCCAGCTTATAATTCGTTCATTTAAACCGCATGGTTCTAGACACTTTATCATCAATAATTTTAATTATGCGAGAAACAACAATTTTGAACTTCATCGATTACTAAATTCAACAACCTCTACAAACCGCCCCAGACTGACGTGAGCGTTTTTCCATCAGTAATGTAAAAGATTACGAAACAAATGCCATAGTTTAAATATCAACCCAATTAAAGTGGTTTGAATATTTAAAATGACACATTTGTTGACTACAGTTATATGCACTCAGCTTCTCTCCATATTTTATGTGTATATGGTCTAATGATGCCAGTCAACTCACTGAATCGAAATTAACCAAAGTGAAATTGGGGCGTGAAGTCGAATATTTCTGAGTAGAATGTATTGTTCTATTATAAAACTATCTATTGGTTATTAACTTCTTATAAACACTCCAAATAAACGTCGTAACTAAACGACGTAAACTAACTAATAGTAACAATAATATTAATATTTGAGATCATGTGTCAATTAAAGGTAGACCATCGTGGAGAACGAGGAAGCACTAGACAGCCGTTTCGTCCTAGTATGGGACTCCTCATCAGCTCGCATCCACGACCCCGCGTAGAGTGATCCGAACCCAGGATCTATCAGGCTCGTGCGTGAGCGCTTAATCACTAGGCTATTGAGTCGGCCAGCATCCAACGGTGTTAATGTCTAACTTCAACCAATCCACGAAATCACGCCACCGTCAACCATTGTCATCAATGAGTTACTATCGCACAACAGATCTATTTGAACTGCACTGGTCACTGCTTCTCATTAGAACTTCAGGATATACATCTTGAAGCCAGTCACTAGTGAGTATAACAATATTAATCAGAATGGGGGTTTGTGGAGATTGTAGTAGTTCTAATGGTCGAATTCATGAGTCGAATTAAGCTAAACCACGATTAAAAACACTGTTGGATACCGATTCATTGGTCCAGAGGTTAAGCGTCTGTGAGCGAAACCATGGGTCTCTAGTTCAAGTCCCTTTGTTGCATGAACTCGGATGCGTTCTGCCGAGGAATCCCATACTTGAACAAAACGGCCATCCAATACTTCCAGGTTATCAATGGTGATCTAGTTTAGATCAACTAATGAATTCAACTATTAAGACAATAATAATAATAGTAATAACAGTTAATGAACAACTATTTACAAAACAATTATGGTGCTGAAATCAATACTTATCTTCACTTCTATCTTCACAACTACTAATAATATAGTGTATCAGTTAAAATAAATGAATAAACTAGTATATTTGAATGAAAAAGTTGAAATAGGATTCTATCCTTCAAATTAGTAAAGTGTATTATAGGTTTTCTTTATTGTTTTCTTGACTATTTATTTATGTGCATATCTACCTGAATTGTAATTATTATTTGTAATTTAATACAGTACAGTAGCATACAATGATCAAAGTAGATACGGCTCATTATAATAATAATAATTTCGTTGCTATAGTAACAGAACAATAGTAATTATTGTAACAATCGGATCGTCTTTTTTTAATAAAACACAGTTTTAATCAAACCCCTTTCTGTTGCTTAATCTTAGTGATTTATATGATTGGTCAATAGAAAATGATGTGTATATTCTTATTTAAATATTATTTTTCTCTATTGTATGAGAATAATTCAAAGGAAATTAACTGTACTACCACTATTACTATTACTACTACAAGCAATATTATCATAGTGATATATTATATTAGATCCGGAGGAAATGAATTCCTCTCTCTCTATTCATGCCTATGTATATTTGTATAGGGAAATAAGGATTGTTTTTATAAATAGAATAGAAAGTGGATTTTCATGTTCTTATAATTAGTTATACATTATGTGTATAACTAAAGTTGTAAAATTGGGAATTACTTGTGTTTTTTTAAGAGAAAGATAAATGATCTTGTGTTTATTTATATTTACAATCTCATCATGATTTAGGTAATATGTTTAGTGTATTGTGATTTAGATGGTGGTTGTAGGTAGTCAAAAGGAAACCCTGGACCCGGGTTTTCTGTTGACTACCTCCAACCACCATCTAAATCTCAATACATATTGCCCGCAGTGTCGAGTCACCTAGACTGGTGGCCACATTGCAACATGATCGATAGCATTCGATCTGCACTAATAAGGACTAGACAGTCATGACATGGATCACCACCAAGTGATCAATCAATTGTAAGTAGTGTATTGTTGAATTCGGAGGTTATTTATATAAGAAGGTAAATCTTACTAGATTTGTGGTGTGTGCTACTTATATTGATATAAGTAGTATATGACGCGAGTTAAAAACGTAATGTCTGGCAGCAGAAGATGGGGGAAGATCAAGAAAGGAAGAGCGGGAACACAATGCAATTTGTAAGAAAACGCATGAACAATGAAATGTGAGACAATGGATTGATGTTTGCAACAGGAACAGTCCAGGTTGATATGATGGATTCATATTTTGCAAATTAACAATTTACCATATGGTTTTTCTATTGTATCAAGTAACTGTAATTTTGTGGTAAACACAGTTCGGTTGTTCTCATCTGTGTCCTTCTTCACTACAGATTGTCAAAATGTTAGAATACCGTTGAAAACCTGGAAGCACTAGATAGTTGTTTCGTTGTGGTATGGAACTCTTTAGTAGTACACATTCACGATCCCACACACAACACTCGAACCCAGGACTTTCGGTTTCGCGCATCAACGCTTAATCTTTAGACCACCGAGACGACATCCAATAGTGTAAATATCTGCAATTGACCAGTCTCTTATTGATATATATGCATTCTATACGGATTGTCTATTTTATGGTGTAATGTGGTTTGTTTATAAACCAGGTATGTTTGAAATTTACGATTCTTATATCTGAATCGGCACTTGGTGTATACTACTATATTCATAGGTATATCAATGATTAGTGGATTTGGGTAATTGAATATTGATTTTCGAATCAATCATTAACATTAATACTGGCTTGCTCAATGGTCTAGAGCTTAAGCGCTCGCGTGCGAGATCAATAGGTCCTGGAGTTGGAAATCTCGTCAAGCAGGATCGTCGATGTGCACTGATGAGGAGTCCCATGCTAGTGCTTCCAGGTTTTCCATGTTAGTCTAGCTTCAATTGACTCATGATCTCAACTATTAAAATATAGAAAATTTTTAGTATTACTTCTCTGTAAGTTTATATAAGTGTGAAATAAAATCTCTTTGAATACTTTTATCCAGTAAAGATATAGTCCCTTTTTTATTTTTCAACTACCCAAAAATATAGTTGTTTGTCTTTATTTCATTATTAAAGTTAATTGATGAATGATATATGACTTGGCATTAAATTATCTATAAACCAAAACCTAATCTGAACATATATGATATCATGTAATGTATACTAGTTAATTCAAATGACATAAGTAGTATATAACACCAATTAAAAGTGTTACGCTTGGTAGAAGCAAGTCGAGAAGATTGGATTGAAAAGAACAAAATTATAAACAGAGAGTAATTGTAATAACAACATGAATAAAAAAATGATGTACTTTGTAAGAGACAATTGATGGAAGATGTGAAAATGAAGTATTCAATATATGGTTCTCATATATTACTAAGACATTCTAGTGTTCATTCACTTTAATAGGACTATAAGTATTAAAGATTATAAATAAATACAGTAACTATTCAAGATTGGACACGTAAAACCTTCTACAATATCAAATCTATAACCTTCAAATCTCATAGTGAGTAAAATAACTTTAAAAATATTCGTTAGGAGAATTTGAAGATTCCACTGTCCAAGATCGTTTAATCCATTTCTTAGAATATATGTTCAAAATCATTCTTCTAACACTTACATATATACATCAGAAGGGGGTTTTGTGGATATTATAGTAATTTTAATATTTGAGATCAATAGTCAATTGAAGATAAACCATCATAGAAAACCTGGAAGCACTGGACGGCCGTTTCGTCCCATTGTAGGACTTTTCAGAAGTGCGCATTCACCATCCCGTCTAGCGACATTCGAACCCAGGATCTCGCGCACAAACGCTTAACCTCTAGATCACTGAGCCAAACAGCATTCAACGATGTTAATGTCTAACTTCAACTAATCTACAAAATTGATCGACACATCCATCACTGTCTTCAGTGAGTTACTATCTCACAACA